TCCACCTCAACTTTTTTTAGATGCAAAAATTCAAACTGTGACTTCAGATTTCATCCTCAAACCATGCAATCATTAAACAATACAGTGCATGAAGTTTAACGCAATATCAAATCTGTTAAATATAACCTGATCACCAATCTGAAACAAGTAATTACATAAAAATCCTACATGTTAGAAGAGCCCAAACCCGGTCACTATAAACTCATCTGCTGGTATTATTCTGTGAAACATCAAAGCAGCTAAAACATGAAGAAATGAAGCAACTTATTGGTGACAGGAAAAGGCAGCAGTGACAAGCAGCCTGTGTATAAATATCTCTCTGTCGGGCTTTTCTGTGAACAGAAGAGGCTCCTTATTGAGGAGATCCACTGTTTGCAAAGCGTAGCCCCTCTGTTTCTGTAGGCCCTTCAGGGGCCGGAGCTGGCTGACAATGCCGGCCATTCTTAGCACTTCGCTGCCCCAGATGACTGTGTCAGTGGCCCCCCGGCTGGTGACAGAGTCCCGTGACCAGCACTACACCCCAACGCCAACTCCAACGGCAGCCAAGAACCAGACCCAGCCTTGGATATCCACAGTCCCATCTCCGGGACCCCTGGAGACCTGTGCAAGTCTCAGCTATACTTCTCCATCCTGGACCAACTGCACCACATAACACCCGGACTCATGATGATCCTTGCCTAGTTTAACACATGTGATGCATCAGATGCATGAGTTCCTATTTACAATTTTTTAAGACTTAACTTTAAGAGCAGCAGATGAAGGATTTGGAAGGTTTTGGAAATACTGGTTTAATTTATTTAATAAAAACATTGTGCAAGACTATTATTTTTCAGGTAATGGACCTTCTGTATTACAGAGCTGCAACAATCAGTTGATTAATCGATTACTCAATAAACAGAAAAGTAATGTTTTGATAATTAATTAATTGTTTCAGTCCTTTTTTAAGCATTAACGCCAAGCACTGGTTCTGAACTCAATTCCAGCTTCTGCACTATGAAGAGATGATAATATTCTGTTTATTACTATAAAAATAATACCTTTAGGTTTTGTCCTGTTGGTCAGGCAAAAAGAAGACATTTAAAGATGTGGCCTTGAGAAAGAGTTTATAGACTAAAAGATAAATCCAACAGATTCATCGATAATGATAATAGGCATTAGATGCAGCTCTACTGTTTTTTTAATTAAAATGTTTAGCATAATTTATGATTAAAATCTTTTCAAAGTGTGTGATGATGACCCACCCTGAAAAGGCCCCCCCATTCTATTTAATCCTCGATAGGATCAATGGCTGAAGCGAGAACAATCTGATATCTGTCTCAGTATGAAGGCGAGTCAGGGCCAAGTCTCTCTTTCCTGTATGTTTTCAACCCATGTGTGCATTTACTGGTGTGATAACCACAAACTCTAGATGGGATCGTGGGGATTAATGACTGCAGAAGGATGATGATTTGGACATATAAAAGTATGTGTTTTACAGTCGGGCTGCAACCACTACTTATTTCTATAATCAGTTAATCTTTTAGATCACAAAAGAAATATGAATTAAAAATCCACTCGGCAGCGTGGAAAGCCATCACGCTGCTGTACCTAACCCAGCATCAGCACCATCTCTGTCCCAGGACTCATTCTCACTGCAGGAATAAATCCCTGCTGTATCGCTCAGCTGTTTCATAGCCTCATTTCTTCAGTCACACTCTCAGACTCCAGCTCCATCCAGGGTAGCTCTCCTCTGGCTTCACAGCCACTGGGCACACAAACACAGGGTGAGCTCCACAACAGCCCAGACAGCATCTAACACTGGATAACAAACATCCACCACAGCAATAAATAACTTTGTGTATCAATTATGTCACGAATTGTGTCATATTTGCAAAAGGATTGCAACAAACACAGAGGGGGGGAGAGCAGGAGGCATGGGAGTTCAGATTTGCGTGTGAAAAAGTGTTTGATTTTGCTGTCACATCCAAGGCATTGCAATGGAACCAGCCCGCCGAAGCTGAAAATAGCTTATAATCAATCAACTGGCAGACACATATCTGTGCTCTTAAAACGTATAAATGTGCAATGCAGAGGGCGGATCAATGGGTGACAGGATTCCACAAGCATCGATATGGACATGCTCTTTGGCATAACAAGCGCTCGCCATCGGCCCATACTTATTTCCTGTGCCTCTGTCCAATGGGCCGTCCGCAGATAGGCCTGCTGGAAAAATAATGCCAGTGTAGCAAGGTCTGTGAAGGACAACACAGATGAGATGGCAGAGGTATATAATCTGCCTTTTTAAAATCTAAGCACCACATATAGCTATATCTGACCAATTGTTTCTTCTGCTGCGATCTTATTTTGGTGGTTTTACAACAATATTCGACTGTTAACGTGTAAAGTTGCAGCCTGCAAATCTGTTTCTCCCAAACGGCCCCAACGGCCAACTTCCTCTTTAATATACACCGAGTGATCGAAAGCACTCTTATCACGATCGTGATCCAAGACATAACTACTGTGGAAGTTAACAAGAAATGTAATACGAGAGCAGGTGTAGAGAACAACAGTAGAAGAGAAAATGAAAGCTTCCTGGACTGACGAGGAGATTTTCAGAGCGGGTTGGGTGGGTGCTAAGCTCAAATGTAGCTAGCAATGAGAAGAAGGGACAAGCTAGCATATAGACCCTTAAAAAAACAATACGTTTGTTTAAATACAGCCCGAGTCCAAAGTTATGACCTCTGCTCCCTTCCTTTCAACCCAGTTGGCTGCTGAAGCCGTCTGCCAGTGTTTCACTACTTCTAGGGTAGTTAATGTAGTGCAGTGGTCACAACAACAATAGGTGTGTGTGTGTGTGTGTGTGTGTGGGCCTTTACACACAGACAGGTCTGCTGCCATGTAGCATAGAGTATCTATGAATGCCCTCCGTCCACATAGTTCATACAGAGGTTAAAACTGAGAGAGGAAGTAAGTGAGAGGCCACGCAGTCTGACAAATTCCAGACATCAATCAGAGACACTGACAATAGAGGCATATTGTAATGTTACTACTGGCTGCAAAGTGAGATTTCAAAATTAATTTTCAAACGTGAACACTGCTTTATCCTTCTCCAAAAAATGCATGTTAGGAATCGGGACTGATTCATTATATTTCAAGGTGAATTTTTAGTAAAGCACACCAGTAAAACAAATGCTTGATGACGGTTTATTGGCCAAACATACAACTGCTCACCGGCTCTTAACCAATCAGGAGCAGCAGCGTAACGGCCAGAGAGGCGGTGACAGGAGGACAGTGAGAAGGGCAGGAGAGAGAAGTAATCAAAGAATGGATGATATTTAAGAGAAGGAGGTTGGGAACATCAAAATAAACAATCAAGTGTCACAGTAAATGTATTATAAGTTCCATGAAAGAACAAAATGCTGGCTACTTGCAACACACAGACAGAAGTTCAAAACCAATGAATGCACTTCAACAGCAGAAAAGTCACATAAACCACTATTTAAAAATACCGTATGCGTTCATTCCGCTCTGTTAATGTTTACTCGTGTCACAGGACAGCTGTATTTTCTGTGCCTCAGCGGTTTCAGTTATTACAATATGGAATATTCTTTCTGATTTCGACATTCAGAGGACCACTGCATTTACAGAGTTGTAAAGACATTGAGACATTAAGAAAGATTTTAAATGTTGATATGTTACATCACGTTACGGGAACATGGACTAAAATAAACACAAGATGCTTTTTTGCATATTGTGCTGTCGTACTGCACACAGACTGACTCAGAGCAGCAAAGACAAACACTTGGACTGTAACAGCTCCACCTTACAGATTCATGTGACTCCTTCAACAATCACCTGACTATCTCTCTCCTTTATATGGAAGCTGCTTTCAGGCAAAGGCAACCAGGGGAAGACTTGACCCGGAGTCAAATTTATGTTCAAGAAATGGAAGATATTCAGGAGCAGAGTACAGAGACCGTTTGTCTACGTGCTACGCCATCTTTAAAACATCTCAGCACTACATCCATGTAACGCAGGCTCACAGGTCGCTGACAACAAGACAATACCTCCAGTCACTGATAAAGGGTGCATTTGACAGAACCCTGAGAGATAAAGGGAGCCAACGCTAAAGATAAAAGGAGGAGACAACTTCCAGTGGGTCTGTGTACCATGTCCTCAGATTTAAATGTGAATCCAGAGGTGAGTCAGAGAGGAAGTAGAAGGAGAGCACTGTAATCAGTGAGTCACTTTGCATACCCAAACTTCCTTCTACAGGCCAGTCAGGGGCCCTCCACTGTGTACGACCAGCACCCTACGGTGGCCCAAGGTGAAGCAGGAGCCTTCCCTACAATCTGGGGCACTGTGCAAAGAGGCATCAGTTGCTGCGCCTTGCCACACTGCAGTTATCAGTATTTCCTAACTGCAGTATCTGGAGTACAATTGTATTCGGAAAAACTCCATACAGATTGTAGCCAAAATCAAATCATGACCCACATAGCTTTTGTCCAGCCTTTAGCGACAGCGAAATGTAGTCTCTCAACTCCACAGGTAGGTCGTCACCATCACCAGCGCGAAAATGAGAAAACTTTAATTACGTCTTTACAGACACATGTTGCATCCATACAATTCCAGTGAAGAAGGCATTTAAATAATAATACAGGCCAGACCTGGCTTTGCATATCGCCACGGTGCGATGTCAAACACACCGACATGAAGAGATATATGTATACTTTTCCTGAGGATGAATACAACTGCTGCTTGCCTCGCCACGCCCAGAGTAAACATATCTCAGCCATGTTCATATACGACATGTCACCAGCACACAGCGCAGAGCGTTCAGCTCAAACACAACACAAAGAAGACATACAGGGAAGTGACAATAGTTTACAGGCTGTAAACAAAAAAGGCCTACAAGTTATCTGCACAGATAACTTATGACATAATGTATGTCGTCATAAACAATCTCAAGTATCCAAAGCTCAAAGTCACACCACGAAAGGTCTTTAGATGTTTGGACTCACTATTGTGCACAGTCGATGAGCTGGTACTCATTGGACCTCTCAAAGCACGCCTTCACTCCTTCGTCGTCCCACAGCTTCTTTGCGTGATCAAAGAACTCCTGAAGAAGAAGAAGAAGAAGAAGAAAAGAAACTTTAAGAAACAGACAATAATGAACTATTCATTATAAAGAAAAAGTCATTCATCACATTAAAAAAAAGTTTACTTCATTTTGACTGACACACAAAGGTCAAAACTATGCCAACTTAGCAGATTTCTTTGCATACGTACATTAGAAAACACATGCAAGTACATAAACACACCGAATACTATAAGAAATTACCCAGTTTCTTAAAGAGAATGAATTGGTGATATACACTGCTTGTCATCTAAACCAAGTACCACACTTAGTTACACACAATGCATACATATGTACACACATGTATGTACACACTCACTGAGCGGTTTAGTAAAAGTTCCGGGTGCCAACGACTGCCATTTATGAGTAGCAGAATATCTTATTCAACAAGTATTTGTACCATATTTTACAGGCGTAGCTCTGCCGGAGTAGAAATGTGATTAGCCTAGCTTAGCATACAGACTGGAAGCAGGAGAGAACAACTAGCCTGACTCGGTGTGAAGCGGGAAAAAAAACGACTACAAAACACAGCCGGGGACGGTGACTGTGGGCAACTTCCCAGAGTCTTGGTGTTAAAATGAGGTTCCCAGATTAGGTTGTGCACCATGGAGCCTGTAACAAGGAACTATACGAAAACCTGCGCTCACAGACCCAATCTAGTAATCTGATCTACAGCCAGAGACACCACACAAGCATGCTGGTGGATGTACAAACTGTTTGTTTGTCAAGAAACAGTTCCAGCATGTAACTCTCCACAAAACCACGTTTTTCTTTTCCTGTTGTGTTCCGATTAAAAAAGCAAGATACAAGCTCCGGCTACGTACTTAATGCATTCATCATTTTCCCCTCCAACTCTCTTAAAGAAAGCAAACAAGCCTATTTTCCATAAAGGCGAAGCGTTCCTTTAACACCTTATTAATAGTATAAGTAGAGTTATTCGTTCTGAGATCTATTCAAGCACAAACCAGCACGTACAAAGACTAAAGTAACTCAGTTACAAATGGTCATATGTCTGCCCTTCAAAGTGCTGGGCATTATTTCTTCATTTTAACAGCTTCTAACATATTGCCTTTCTAAGGAAAAGACAGTCTGAAAGTAATATCCTTCTCATTATGTCATGACAGCATGAGTGGAGGTAACTCTGTGAAAACTATTTGAATGTGAAAGCAGAAATACTGATTTTATCTTTCCAAAAAATTACAGAAAAAGCTATTTGTAGCAGCAGAGGCCGCTGACTTGAGTTCTCATTCACTTCCTTGATACAGAACTGATTTTACTCACGACTTTCTTCACAAGCTCTCTTCTCTGAACTGTAGCTTAAAAAGGAACAAAAGATAGTACTCTTGGAGGCCAAATGTATAACACTACAGTTACATTACATAGGAGTGACTCTGTGAATGACCACATACGTCTCAGTCGGAGATTTATGAAGGGAGCTCGTCTCAGCGATGACTTTGAGACACTTCCCAGGACTCTCTGTAGGCCCTAAACAGAAGATGATTGGGCTAATATCCCTCGTCGCCTCCCGTGCACATGTTTTTCAGACGGGCTCCTCCTCTAGCCAAGAACCACCACATGACTCTCTGCACTCACTCTGCGCTCTGACCGGGGAGAGGGTGAAAGTAGCCCCGAACCAGAAGGAGCCTGATAAATGATCACATGCTCCGGGAGATCTCCTCTCGGCAGATCCTGTGATAAAGTTCAACATGGAGGATCCACTGAAGTCTGCCAGACAGGAGACGTTAATACTGGTTTACGTTTTTTTTTTGTTACAGATGAATATGGACCCACAACTTCAGGCACGGATGTGGTCATGTTAGGTGTGTTTACGTACATTTTCACCAAAGTATTGTACGTTCACCCATTATTTTAAATTTTACAACCATGGATCAGCTTTGCATTTACCTGCTTAACCAAAAGAAAAAGGAAATGAGGCCATATTTTGCTTTCCAGCTCATATTTTCTTCTGTTACAGTCAAACTTTAAAACGCCAACCTCAACTAATATCAATAAGATTCAACAGCACTGATTACGTTCATATTAGTTCTGTAGGTCTCAAGATGTATTTATTGTATACTAGCAGACATCGACTAGCAAGCGTTGGTACTGGATGGAGGGAGGACGAGGGGTAGAGGGTGGAAGGGGCAGGGGGGGGCAGAGTATGGTCCTCAGGGCTCTTTTCCACAGAGGCGTGTGACACTGGGCCTTTGAATAAATGCAGTGTGTGCTGCAGTGCCCTACAGAGGAACTGATAACACAGAAAGAGACCAGGAGGGAATTTGCTTCAACACAAGCTTTTTTTTTTTTTTTTTTTAACTCTTCCCCGTCCCCCCCCCCCCCCCCCCCCTCCATCAACAGACATTAGACACCGATCCGATTCTCTGGTGGCTCTGCTAGGACCAGTTCTTACTTCAGCCTTAGCTTCAACGTTAATCAAGTTATACGTGATGTAATATGAATCATATGGGTTAGTCTGACACAGGGAGCAAAATGGGCCTGAATCTGATTTGACTTAGCAAAACGAAGTTGTGGAGCGAATGGTTTGCGTCGTCCCTTCGCGAGGGGACACTTAAATTCCTTTGGGTAAAGTTTTGAAGAGACCTTTGGTCTTAAGAACAAAATGTACAGCCACAAATCTCACATCCCTCCATATGTAGCCAGCCCCAGACAAGCAGCGAGCTCCTCAGTTAACCATCAACAACACTTTTATTGGATTTGAATACCTGTGTTAGATAGTCACCCAGCACAAAGAGAGAGCCGACTTTCAAGCGTTACCTCAGTTAAAAAATAAAAAAGAGAGCAAAAGGCGAAAGGGAGCAACTGTTCATCTTTCATAACACAGTTCCAGAAACGGAGCAGTCCTTTGTACCACCCTTTGCCCCACATCTGGGATCCTCAGGTAATCAATTTAAGGAAAAAAACAAACTTCCAGGACTGAAGCTGTTCATCATAAGGAAATCACCAAGACACTAACAACAAGGGAATGCTCTGAAAGGTGTTGTCCTTCTTGGCTGTATTGAAGAACAAAAGCAGCACAAAGGCAGGTCTCTTTTCCTCATTAGAAGTCATTATTATGGGTTGGCCTGTAAACTGACATCCGTTTACACACTCACTGACGGTTGCTGATGTGCACACGTTTAATAGACATGTTGTAAAATCATCGGTGCAGTAATTCTGCACACCAACACAAAAATAGATCAGTTCAACAAAGGGTGGGGCTGAATATAATATGAAGCTCACCTTCCACAACTGACTGCAATTCACACCAAGAAGAAAAAAACACCAAAAAAAACACAAGAACAAACTTTTGTGGACCTAATCCTTGTCCTTTTGTTGTGAGTGTATAGAGCTAACTTCACCAGGTCTATAACGCTACTCAAACGTTACAGTGACCTGCTTCGTTTAGCATCAAAAAGACAGGGTTACATGTCTGATGGAGAGAAAGCTACACGGTGTAAAACAACGGCGCTCATTTGAATTTGTTCCACTTCAGGCGCCGGACACCGTCGGGTGGCTAGCAGAGCTACCACAGCGCCATGTGTTTCCATTTGCATAGACGACAGTTTGTGTCGGTGCTTTCTTTTCCATGGGCCTACTGTTATCCCAAACTACTAAATGATGCTTTGATGATAAAGAGTACAGGCCATCAGAACTAAGCACGGGGATTTGACATAATAGGGCAAAGGGGAAACTGTAGCTAACAATTTCAGAATTATTTTGTTGTGTTGGGAGGCAACATGTTCCTAATAGTCCTTATCTGTACCATAAACATAGATCATGTGACTTTACAGAAAAGATATTTCACATGAGTTTGACAGCAAAAAAACAACATACACTTAGTCACGTAGAAGAAACAACAACGTCTCCACCAACAGTTCCTTCTGAAGACCGTAACGCGATGCAGCCATAGTTCTGCTGCTTGTCGCCTTTCTATTTGACACAGCACACCAAGCCATTGTTCTCGGGCTCACTTTTCTCAACTAGGAAAAAAAAAAAAAAAAAACTAGCTATGCTATCACGTCAAATTATAATGCCCAATAAACTTATATCATTAGATAAGCAACACTTTTATTTCAATCACTACTGCAAAAACCAACAACTGTAAACACAACATAAGGGTGAGTACAGCCTTCATGAAAGAAGGTAGAGAACACAGCAGAGATAATAATAATAACAATAAAGTTTTTCTAAGGTTTTAACCTATAATATCTCAGAGTAAATGGAGGCTTGATCTACTTGAGGAACTTTTCTCTTTCTCCAAAAGTACAGAGACACTTTGATTCGATCGGTTTCAGTAAATGTTCCTAGCAGAACAAGCTTAGAACAGGCGGGGATCTTCTTTTTTTTTTTTGAGAGAGGCAGCTAATAAAAGCAAGTTTAATGACTCATCTCCATGGTCACCACTATGCAGTTAAGCATTTTAGTGATGTGTTAAGACTTTCATATAGTCTGAGTCAGGTACGTCATATGACAAGGTCATCTTCAGCGTGATGACTGGACGGAGAGAATTAGCACCAATACGACGAGTTGAATAATTTATGAGTCGATGGAGAAGAAAGTTCTGGACTCTTGGTCAGAAACAAGAAGACGTTTGAAGATGTCACCCTGGGCTCTGTGACGTTATAGACAAACCAACTGAATCGAGCAAACATTTGGCAGATTAGCCGATAATAAAAAAAATTATCTTTGGTTGCAGCCCTGATAAAAACTTTCAAAATGGTCCAACAAAAGCTATCACCATCAGTCTCTCCACATATACAGCAAGTAATTCAGGGAAATGTAGGAAGTCAAAGAGTATCGTCTACTTCTTCTTCCTGTTCACAGCAATAACGTATCACAAAACAACGGATTTAAGTACACTGAACATCATGTTTATCAAGAGAAAGTGTCCTTTTAGGATTCATGAACTTGGTTCGCCACGACTTCAGCGCTCCAAAAGTTTCCAGGTAAAACATATTTCCACATTTCACAAAAGGCGCCAACAGGTGAAAGCCACAGGTTACTGATTGGCCGTGTTCCTGCACTGCTGTATTGGATGTCATGCCTGGTGGCACTAAGTGACAATGTAGTGGTGACACTGACGGCACTAGTGAAGCCTGAGACTGATGACAAGCACAGACGCTCCACACAGAGCCATGTTGTTCCCTTCGGCCGGGCCGGGGCCTGGGAACTCAACGGCGGCACTCCCCATGGCCCCGGCCCTCACACAACACAACACAGCACAACATCACAGACTACTGCTGCCCTGTTAACACTCTCACTGTGGGCCCTATCATGGAAATTAACCCCCCAAATCCCTTTAATGGATCTTCTTGCGATGTAGAGTTAAATAAAGTTGCCCAGAGGGAACCTGGGAAACAACATTCAAAGCAGTTAAGTGATGGTATGGATAAGACCTGAGAGAAACAGTAAAACAGTGACCACAAGGCCTGAATATCAGTTGGATTTTGAGGCCTTGTTGGGAAAGTCATATGCCAGATTGTGGTTAACAGATAAAACACATGTGGAATTCATCCCTCTGAATCTTTTTTTATAAAAAGGTGATACTTGATAAAAGATTCTCCCGAAGATAAAAGATGCTGGGCGGCAACTAACATTTATTTTCATTGTCAATTCATGTCAAAATCTAAATTTCTTAAGACTTCAAATGTCTTGCTTTGTCCGACAATATAAAACAAAAGATTTGCGGCAAATCGCACACTGGTTACACAACACATTGATGCTCAGATCAATACACCAAAAGCAGACTAACCCTGTACTTGATTAATACACAATAGCATGTTTGTACTTTAATTTGGTTCCCATAAAAGCCTGAAGTGTATCGTAAAAATACATATTTGATTCGGAACCTAAGAGTTTATCTACAGCTGTGTCATCCCTGTTTTGCGGAGCTGCACAGCCGGTGTGAAACAAGGCACATTTTCAAAATTATGTAAAACATTTTCTACATTTCCAACACATGATCTCGCGCTATCAAATAGCCGATCACACACTGAAAAGAATACTGTGTGTTCTCGCATTTAAATCCACATACAGGACATCTGCTCCAGCTACGAAGGGGAATCAATCCTTTGACCTGAATCCACTAACTGTAGATCTTACACAAGTTAGCTGACATTTACATTCATAACTCCATAACTCCCAAGGGGAAAAAAAAACACTGCCTTTAGCTTGGGTTTGCTATTTTTTTTTAAAAGACCGCCACCACATCATAAAAAGAAGTAAATCAAAGAAGTGAAGCAACATTAGGACTGTTGTGGAATAACATCTGACATCCCTCAGCTATAATAGCAAGATCTACTTTGTTGGCCATAAAAACAGCAAAATGCTCTCATCACATAACATCCAACACCCACACAAACACATATTGCATATGTGAAAGACCAAAAAAAAAGCATGTACTATCCCAGTGTCTCTCTCACACACATGTTCACATCTGCACAGAACCTTTCTGAACGTCTTACCTGTGAGTAGTCAAAGTCGGAGAGAGGTGCTATGCTTTTGATGTATTCGATTCTGAATTGGTCCTCTGGGTTGGCTAGCGGGACTGGAGGTATTAAAGTGCTCATCGCAGACACTATAGTCTACAAAGCAGAAGTTGTGGGGGGGGGGGGGGGGGGGGGACAAAAAACAAGCATTAAGCAGGATGAATACAGGAAAATAATCTAATCGTAAGCCTGTATGATAATAATAATCAGTAAAATGGGATTGCAGTGGGTGTAACAACAGAGACATTGAGCACATTTAGAAGGCGATGACACTCACCACTATGGCATCCTTCACGTTTTTCCGAATATCTTGGATTTTCTGTTTCTTTTCTCTGCGTGGAGACAGAATAGAAGTGCGGGGCAGCGGTTACGAAAACATCAACCACAGCAGAACACAAATGATTTATCATCAAGGTGGTTATGAGTAAGATGTAAGGGGTTACAGCCAGGTTAGACTGTATTCTTAACACAATCATACATACATACAGTACAGGTGTCAAGGCTGAGAGGATGTACCAGGTAGCAGTGAAATGCAGGATGGGGTTCAGTAAAACACAAAAGTAAAGCGATACGATGGGTTGTAGTCATGATTTTCCTCATTTTTTGATCTTACAAATGCAAGATTATGCCTCGACATACACATACAGTGGGTTTTCATACAGTTACAGGACTCTTGACATGTACTAGGCCTGTTTAAAATAGACCACTGGTGAAATCAATGCCATGCAAGGGCCTTGCAGCAAAACAAATCATCAATAGGCCTGTGTCGATCACAACCTTTCACCCTCTCACATGAAACAGGAAACAGTGAATTATTTGGCATCTTTGTGACACTGAAATCCTCACATATGTATGATAACTGTACATGTACACGAAAAAAAGGGGGGGGAAAGGACATAGAGAGAGACATAGAGAGAGACAGAGAGAGAGATATTAGCTGCTTTGCATGGGATACTGGGCCCAACAGGCGCTGCAGTGCCTGTGGGGAAAATCCATTCACAGGCTACACTCTGGCCTCCACAGTGTTATTCATTAGGAAGCCGAAAGAATACGCATTAATATGATGTTAGAGCCGTTAATGTCGCCATGTAATAATAACTGTATTGAGCAGCACTCACTCCGCGTTGAAGCCGTTGACGTGTAGAATCCTCATCTGCTTCACAATGGTGCTTTTTCCGGACTCTCCCGCACCTTCGAAAGCAGACCCAAAAAAAATAATACATTATGGGGAACATCCAGGTTAGCGTGAGAACCATAATACATGTCTTTAGAAACCAGGCCAGTTAATCGTATGCTCTCTCTCTCTCTCTCTTGGAGCTTCGCTTCTTCCATCAATATATCCACCCCCATGACATATTATTGCAAGCGCTGTCAAACGGGGCTACGTGTTCGGTAAACGAAAGGGATTAGCTTACGTTTTCAGAGAGCCACATCACGTTTAAAATCAAGCCTTACCCAGTAATAACAGCCTGTGTGTGGCTTTATACGCTTGTCTTTCCTTTTGCAACTGTTTCTCTATCTTTTTATTCGCCTCTCGTTGTGCCTTTTCGTCGATGCGTTGATCTTCAGTCTTGCTGTTGCCCAAACAACCCATCTTCCGTCGCCCTCACCCTTCCTTGTGGAATCGTAAAAAAAAAAAAATATATATATAAAAAAAAAAAAAAAAAAAAACACCCCGGTTGATTTCGTGTGTTTAAAAAAAAAAATAACACAGCAATGAGTCTTACTGTAAAAATAAAAAAGGGAAAAAATAAAATCTCTGCGAGGCTTCTTCTCCGTCGGAGGGAGGAATATGTTCCGCTTTAGCCGCAGCCAACCGTCATCCAAACCGTTTGTTAGTTTACAAACCAACGGAGAATAACGACTCGGTTCCACTAAGATATATCAAAAATACATATAAATAAGGAGAGAGAGAGAGGGTTTTCAATTTCTGGGGAATCCAGTCAACTGTTCCTATCGCGTCTCCAACCCCTCTCTTCTCTCAGTATTTTTTTTTTTCTATCTGAATTTCTATCAGTATTTTTCTGTCTCTTTAACTCAGCACTGCCTCTCTCTGTGGCACCAGGAAGTAACCGTGGACCGTGGAGGTGGAAAACAAACCCGCGTTAAACTGTAACGTTAACAACCCGCTACTGATATAGCATTTTATAACTTGTGTGGAAAAGGGAGAGGAGCCATCCCCCGGTTTAGTCCGTCGCTAGCTTTGCTATCAAACTAATCGGCAAAAGGCGTGGAAACCCGGACGAGTCGCTGTGCTGGTTTACAGAGGGGCTGGGTCTCTTCTTCTTCTTCTTCTTCTTCTTGGCTTCCAGTCAGTGAGGTGGCCCTGACACAAACTGGCAACCCGTTTACAGTGCCTGTGTGTGTGCACTGGGCTTTACCTATCTCTCTTGTTTATACTTTACAGGCCTGGGGGCCATCGTTGTAGTCCTTGTGGCGAATTAGGAATACTTGTAGGTGGTGGAGGAAGTATTCAGATCCTTTGCAGTAAAAGTACAAAAGTATGAGTTACAAAATGATACTTAAAGTATAAATAGTTAAAGTACTCATACAAAATGGCCCCTTTCAGATGTTTATACTGCATTATTATACTTGTTAAGACTATACAGTGGTGGAAAGTAACTAAGTGCATTTACTCAAGCACTGTACTTAGGCACACAATTTGTGGCACTTTTACTTTACAGGCCTGGGGCCCATCTTTGTAGTCCTTGAGGACTACTTTTTCTCAAGTAAAACTACAAAAGTATTATCAGCAAAACGTAGTAAAAATATCAAAGGTAAAAGTACTAATTTTGCAAAATTGCCCCTTTCAGAGGTTTGTACTGTATTAATACATATATTATTTATTGGTGGAAAGTAACTAAGTTATTAACTCAAGTACTGCACATAAGTTCAGTTTTGAGGTACTTGTACTTTACTTGATTAATTCCATTTGATGCAAATTCAACTCCGCTACACTTTAAGGAAATATTGTACTTTTCACTTCACTGCATTTATTTGAAAGCTTTAGTTTTAGTCTATTAGTTACTTTGCCAATTCAGATTAATACAAAATATAATCACAAAATAAATGTTGATGTTTTATTATAGATTAAATTACCCAGTAGTATAAATATTTAGAATAAGTAGCAATACCACAGTGTAAAAATACTATAATACAAAATCAAAAATATTAGTTAAACTCAAGAACAAAAGTATTGGCATCACAATATACTTAAAGAACTAAAAGTAAAAATAGTCATTATGCAGAAAAGGGCATTTCAGAAAAATATATATTATATCAGTAGTACTGCAGCTGGTTAGGGTGGGGCCACGGGTGGAATAAAAGTGCAATAATGACTGTAGTGGAGTAGAAGTATGAAGTACCATAAAATGGAAATACTCAAGTAAAGTACAAGTACCCAAAAATTGTACTTAAGTACGGTACCTCAAGAGCATTAGGACTAGTTTAATGTCAGTATAATATAATTTATTTCTTTGGAATGTCATTTTGTACATTATGTTTATTTATTAAAAACATGTCACAATTGCAATTTCTTTATGTACAGTGAAGCAGTGGTGAAAAGTATATTGATTAGTATACTGTGCTACAGTGCAATTTTGAGGTACTTGTACTTTACTTGAGCCTTTCCATACTATGCTAGTTTACTTGTAACTTACTACATTTCAGCATGAAATACTTCTTATTAGTCCACTACATGGATTTGACAGTGTCTTTGCAGACTGTGAATTAACGAACAGTGTATGAAATATAATGCATTGTAATAGTAAACTACCCGACAGTATATAAAGAAGCTCCACTTATTATTTGTCTTGACAAATTACTTCTCTTCTCTTTAACAATGTATGTTAAAGTTTCAGCTCCAAATATCTAAAAATGTGAATGCTGACAACACTGACACTGCCAGAGTGTTGTGTTTCTTTTTACAACACTCTGGCAGTGTCAGTGTTGTCAGCATTGTCTGACATTTAAGATTAGCTTCCTGTGCTTTCCTTTGAACTCGGCCAACATGATGTGTGGGTTTGTACAAGTGTGACTTAACCACAACCAACAGCCGCACTCTACATGTAGACTAGCATTGTGTTATTTGTAGGTATCAATAGCAGATGTATTGCCATTATTGATGTCAATATGTGTGAGACAGCGAATCAATTGACTTGAAAGTCTTTTTAATTAAAGCCACTGGTAAAAGTTGGTAGGTAACAATGAGCTAATGCTAAGCTAATGTACAATACTACACTGTTGAATTCAGGTCAGGAAAAAACATTACAAGTTTTGTACTTTACGCTGATATCACAAATCCTCATAGATCACTCAAACGCATGAGGCAACCACGAATGATTATTTCTGGATCATGTAACAAGGAGTGTGCTGTTATTGTCTCCATTATGCAAACACAATGCAAATACTAGCATCATGTAGTGAAATAAGTGGAACAAAGTTGTGTTGCATGCAAATCACAACTGGAACACTTACTTCACCTGTAGTGGTGTGGAAATAGTACAACCCCCCCCCCTGTCTCCCCACCTCAGAAAGCAAGGTCAAAACAAGTGAGTGGCCCACATCACTCTCTAGTGGTTAGAGGCAGCAACGCATTCAGCTCCCTTTGAATGATACATAAGCAGAGGCTTTGTTGCATAAATTATCTTCCTTTTTAGGAAGTACTGTCTGGTATTTATGTTTAGCTTGCTGTGGCTTCCTCCTAACTAGACTGAAAAGGGTGTATGTGTGTGTGTGTGTCTGTTAAGGCTTGTTAAGGTTTATCTGATTTTAAATTCATCTGCTGAAGAGGGGGAAAGTTACTCTGTGTCCACTTAAATCTGAGTTTAAGATGTTTGAGCAGGATTTTGTGACATTACAACCAGTCTGGATGCCAATCGTTGTTCCAGTATGCAACAAACACAAATGTAATGTGGAAACTTCCGGTTCACATATACTGATAGTTGACGTCTCAGTGAAGTAGAGGACATTTTGTGTCCAGCAGTTAGACTTTTGATATGAACAATATCTGCATATTTGTTGATTCTGGATTCTTCAATCAAAAGAAAATAATTAAACTTTTTTTTTTGTGGGAAAACCTTAACAGATACAAAAAAGTATTCAAAGCATGTGTCTTCCAACATGTCTGGAGGGAAGCTTTAAACCATCATTACTATATTTCTGAGTAATAGTAGCAGTTATTTTCCATAATGAATCTGTCTGTCAGTATGTGTGCATGTGCAGTGTTAGAGGAAGTTTTCAGATCCTTTGCTAAAGTAAACGTAGCAGTACAACAATCTAAAAATACTCTATTGCAAGTAAATTATCTTTTCAAAGTCTGACAAAGATGTTTTAACTATTTTCAGACTGGAAGTAGACCTTTACAGAAAAATGGCAACCACAGAGGCCCTTAAAAATAGCTGCTCATCAATGATCAACGCAACAATGCACAGTTTCTTTTTTGCAAAATGACTGCACTTAAATAATTACATTAAAATATATACATATTACACCTGCCAGTGAACTATTACCATAAACCTAACAATATCTGAGACTTAAAACAGCTATTTTCTACCTATAAATCTTTCACACCTTTCACTTTTGAAGCATGTACTGTAAAAATGAGGCATACATCCAAATGATGAATTTCTTCTACGATGCTGGAAAGAACTTTATAGCACTCTCTTAAGGCGCAGAGCCTCTTGATCAAGTCTAAATGATACAGTAGGCAAAACCTGGAGAACAATCACAGTCCAATGTCCTCCTGCTGTGGCGTGGTTCACTTCTGATTCAGCTGCTACATCTGCTATCAGTATCATAAACATGGCAATAATTCATAATCCAGTATGACCTGTTGGTCATTACATTAACTGGGAACACAGTTAGTAGCAAAGTTCAGCAATGGTAAATGATAAAAACCCGTTTAGACTGAAGCAAAGTTCACCTGATTCTACTGGTATTTAAAGGGGAGGGCCAACAGGGCATATACTGTATGTTCCGGTGAGCGAGTTTTCCCAAAATATGGCTTATATGTACACGCACGCAAAAAAATTAAGAAAACAGACAAATCAGTGACTTCCAACAGGCTATTCGATGGCCTGCCTGGCTCAGTTCAGTCATTGCTTCTCTTGAGCGCTACATTGCTTGCAGCCTGTTGTTCAGGCTCATGAAGGGTGATAAGGCTGAGATATGAAACGGCGAGTAAAGGACATCGAAGAAAGCTATTATTATATTATCACAGGCCTGTACAGAATGTGATCCAAGAGACCGAACAATAAAGTGACTTCCTTTCCAAGAAATAGGCTGAGCTTGTCCTCCAGTTTCCTTCGCCGTATTCCTGTACTGAAGTATAAAGACCTCTATTAAAAGGAAGTCAGATTTTCTGAATTGTCCTCTGGTCATACTTTTTTTATTATATTTATAGAAGTGTTTTCTGAAAATAATGGTGCCTTCAAACAGGCCGCTGTTCCACAAGAGCAGTCCAAATTATGTGGAAATTTGGTGATACCCTTCATGACACAAAAATGTACTTGACTTCACATGTCTAAAACACAAACTCACAAAGTTGTATTTGAAGGCTATTGAACTCCGGTGGTCACGTCACAGCTCTGCTTTATTTTGATTAACATAAACCATCTTGCTTTGATTTTAATGGATGATTCGACTACCTTGATCTATTTAATATTGAGAGGCCTTCCTAAAAAAATGTAAAGGAGCCTTCACAGCCACTGGGACATGGTCAGAAACTTTTTAGGGATGTAAGATTTATTTATTTTCTTTCTTGTTCTCTCTTTCTGTTTCTATTAGTAGGGGTATACAATACAAAAATAAGAATGGCAAATACATGTAAACATGTTGTGAAATACAAAAATACATTTTGTAGGTGTACTGATTCATGATTGTATTGCAATAAAAGCATTAGAATAAAAAATATATTTATTTCTGTTTTATCATTTTACTATTGAGAAGCTGAAGTGAGAGTTTGACACATTTGCTTTAATATGACTTGAACAATTAACTGATTATCAAAATATTGACTGGCTAATTAATATCCTACAGATAGACGAATAGCTTAATCGTCTCGTTGTTTCAGCTTCGTAAATGAAAAAAAAAAAAAACACTGTTAGAGTCCATGTACTGTTTGTTATACTGTCACACCCTAACTTACAAAATAAATCAGTTACTTTACTTTGAACTTTGATTTTAAAGCTTCAATTCGGCAGGTTTACTGCACCTAATTAGAATTCAGTCCTGTCAGTCAGAAATGAAAATTACCTTTCATATCCAATAAACAACTACACTGAACCTGAAGCGTTCTGTGTATGAAGACAAAAGCTTTTGCAGTGAGACATTTATAAATCAATAATCTCATCATTTTAAACAGGTATTTTATTTAAAAAAAAAAACTGCACATAATTTGAGAGTTGAATGTCTAAAATTATACTGCAAGATACCAAAAATGTGATTCAACATGGTTCAAAATGTAAGTAACAAATAAATGTGACTCAAACGGATGGATTCGGGCTCCAGCACAAGCTGAACATGGCAGCCCGCAGAGGATAAACATTAGCTCCTTATGGCTATCATTATTCAACCAAATACCTGCAGCAAATACAAACAGATAAAGTGACCCAGATTAGCTAGCATACGTTGCCTTGAAATGCAACACTATTTGAAAGGTGTCCACTTTCAGAGGAACACAAACCACCTCAGTCCTCTGGCATGCAACAAGAGTCCTACTGGAGACCTGGAGGGTATAAAGTCCCGAAATGCCTCTTAAGGAAAAACCAGAAGAGGCCTGCTGCTGGTGGCTGAGGCTTCTGGGTGCACCAGCACAGATACAAAATCATTTTGATTCTAAAGTGGCGAAGAAGGCCGCCCAAACCACAATGACAAGCTGAAATGACACAGTAACAAAGGACACACTCACTGTGTGGCTTTCAACAGTGGCTCGTGGAAGGAATGTATGACACTTCCCTATGTGACTTCATTAGGATGAACCAGTTCTTCCTGTGTGTAATTAGTGGGAGCTGTTTACTGAGGAAATTAAACTGGTAGCCATTTATTATATTGAGTAACGAAGCATTACACTGGGTGTGTTTGTGTGTGTGTGTGTGTGTGTGTGTGTGTGTGTGTGTGTGTGTGGGTGTGTGGGTGTGTGCGTGGGTGTGGGTGTGGTTGTGGGTGTGTGCGTGCGCCAAAACTAAAAGCGGTTGAGTTCTGTTTTTATTGTAAATGTGTTAAACATTGTTTTCTCATCAGGGTAGCTGTGGTGACCTTTAAAGCTCCTGTTTCTGATCAAGACTCTCTCTTTTGAGAGTGAAGCATTGTTGGTTATGAAAACGAAAGCACTGAGCTAGCCTACATGTACAATATCTAGATGC